TCTTTATTCTCGTCCTTCGTTCAACAAATTTTGGTTCCCAACGTGTGCTTTAAGTCAAATGAGTTTTGAACAAAAACAATGTCTACACCTCGAAATTAATCTCATCCAACGAGTGAACATTAAACGGTAATTCAATTAACAAAGTAGTAATGCCTACCCCATCATGAGTTGGTTTGAGTAGGCCTATGCAGGGGCTTAACATAGCCTACAGTGCCTTTGGTTTTGAAATATGTTTTCCAATGAAGAAAACTGAGTGGCTCAGTGAGTAAGACGCTTGCTCGCTTGCCTGAAGATCCAGGGATAGGTCGAGATAATACCTTCCGATTTCCCCTGTCAGTAATGCAGGTAAAGACATGGAAAAAGCGTCTAGTCGTTCAGATGGGACAATAAGCCGTGGCCCCGTGTGCTATAGGCTGTGCTATAAAGATCCTTCGACAGTTGGAAATCGAAAAAGACCAGAATGATGCCGCTGTCCTGGCAAAATTTCCGTCATTGCGCCGCACATGGTGTTGCCCGTCTTCATTAGCCAACATGATGCAGAAAGGTATATGACGTAAAACTCTACTATACAGTTATTAAATTTATTGCCTTCTTTACTCAAAATAGAAAATTGAAAAAAAAATTTCTGTCGAAAAATTTTAGATTGAGCATTAGTTTTAAAGTTTCTATTTACCCTCAACTTATGTGGATAGAGGTCACTGCAGAAATTGCAAAAAACATGACAGCACCCAGTCCATTCAGAATCAGATAAATTTTTCTCAACATTTCTCATTACTACTCCGAAAATACCTATGTCGACTGCATAAATCAATATACTAATGAACTAGAACCTTATAAAGAATGATAGAAACTATGTTTATAAATGGGTTTCCTTATTTTTTTAGTGTCAAATTAAGCAAACTATTTGATTAAATGGTGTTTCTAATCCATTCTCATGCATTCTTAATCATATCATTATGTTCTTATTGTATATAATTACGAGTTTTAACCAATAATAAATGTCCATGCACGTACAATCTGGATAAACAAAAAAAGACTTTTTGACCTTTCATGATCAGTCACTCATTGGAATTCTACTTGTAATTCTCTTCTAATTTAGCTAATTATGAATTAATTATGGACATGTGAGGCAAACTGTTATTTTTATACGCCCACATGAAATGGGGGGGCGTATATTGCCGTCACCCATGTCCGTCCGCCCGTCGGTCCACAATTGCTCGTAAACACTCTACAAGACGCAATTTTTGACGGATTTTGACAAAACTTGGTGTGAGTGTTCGTAATCACCCAAGGATGAACCCTATGGAAAATCAGAAGAATCGAAAAATATTTAGTATTAGTTATGGCCCTGAGTCTGGCATGGTGGTATTGACAGATTTTGACGATGGTGTGAGTGTTTGTAATCACCTAAGGATGAAAATGTGTTCGAGTAAAAAAAAAATAGCTTGCCAGTCTTTGGTGACTTGATAATGAAGTTATAAAGATTGAAATAATCTTAAAATTATTTATAAGTCAAGGCAAAACCTCAAAAACACTTACATCAAATTATCATCGAAATTAAAAAATGAACAAGGTCTCATCGACGTACACGGGGCATTTACTCTGAAACCGTTCATCGGATTAATACCAATTTCGAACATCAATATGTACATGCATACCGAGTTTCATTAAGATACAAGTCAAATTTGACGCGTTTATATTAAGTCAGGGGCAATAACTCTAACATCCAATCCGATAAAAATTTCGAATTTGACTGAGATCTGATCAATATATACACGCGTTTTTACAAAAGTGAAGGGCAATAACTCTGAAACCGATCATTCGATTATTACCATTTTCGATTTAGACCAGGATCTGATCAATATATACATGTATACCAAGTTTCATCAAGATCAAATAAAAACTGTAGTCTCTATCATGCCTAAAAGCCAAATTTGAAGTCAAGGGCAATAACTCTGAAACCATTCATCTGATTATTACCATTTTCGAACTTTCGAGATCTCATCCATATATACATGCATACCAAGTTTCATCAAGATCGAATAAAAACTGTAATGCCAATCAATATAGAGATTAAAAGGAACAATAGATAAATCTCTATATTGTTTCTTGTTGGTATATATTTTGTTATGTTTTATTCTCTTGCCATTACATCTGATGACGACACGTGTATATTGTGTTGAAACGTTATGTGCCCAACCTTATTAAAAAAAGTATGTTATATTCCATAATATTGTCTTGTGTTTTGTTATATGTGCTCCTCGCTTCTATATGTCGTTCAAATCTTAGATAAAAAAAAGAGGTGAGCCTGGATAGTAAAAGTTCCAAACTGATACTGCAAGTAAAAATGTTGCGTGAAAGGTTTGGTAGTATAGTAAAAACTGAAACTTCTCTAGTTATAGATGAATCGATGATGCCCTTCAAAGGGCGGCATTCGCAGAAAAAATATATGTGAAAAAACCTGTCAAATGGGGATATAAGTTGTGGTGCAAATCAGGTATATATGATTTTGAAATCTGTGACAGCAGTGTTGCACTCCTTGAAGGGGTCAAGTTTGAAAGGTCGCTTAGAGAATAAGGGTTTTCAACTTGTTGTAAAAAAAAGCGACCACGACTGGTGGATGAAATTTGACTGATGATTTCGACTAATTGTGACTTCGGGGCCTACTAGCGTCGAGTAGTTTGCCTTAATTCATTTGTGGTAACAGCAAAATACTTAATTTCTATAAAAAAAAAACAATCTTTTAGTTAGACGGCATATTCAATACATTTTGTGGTTGGTATACTGTTACATCGTGATTTCCTTTAGCAATCAGAGGTGTTTCAACTGTATTCATCACATCACCATCATTTTATAAAGGTATCAATTAAGCTTTTTCAGTCATGAATTTTGTCGTCATGGGTCGAAAATTATTTTTGGCTATGTCTTCTCAAATTTGAATGGTAATGGTCATAAATGTCAAACTAAAAATGTGATGATGTTGTCCGGTATTTCCCAGTTTGGTTTTTTAAGCAGTGTCGCTACATATACGTTTCGACACATGGGTGCTACTTCTCTTTGATACCAAGATGTAGATTAGGTTAAATCTGCATTAAAAAGCTTTTAGTCTGGTCAGTCATCTATTCTAAAATAGCCTGAACTAATAAATCGCGCCTCTAATTTCAGCTTCAAGAAACATCTATGTAGGCATGGAGGTGTTATTCCAAAGAAAAACATTTTTAAACGTGACACGTGTCTCATGGCCGCGTGCTGTGACCTGGTTTTAATGTTTTATTATCTCTGTAGATTCAATTACTTATAAACTAAAGATTGAATAGAATCTCTATCAGATTAGTACAAGCTTTAGGCTATGAACGACGATAACATTAACACCACGAGATGTAGGTTGCGTTAAATCAATTTGACCAGAATTACCTACTGTTTTTGTCATGATCTTGTAGAAAAGATCACCCAAGTAATATTTTAGGAGGAGTGACCAGAAGCAAAGAAACTAAACTATTCTATAGAAAGAAGAATATAAGTATATCATTAAAATGTTCTTTATTGCTAAATGTATTTAACGGTGTCTTATGTTGCTTTGCTGTCCAAAGGAAGATTTACTACAAATCTTTAACAGCCTCCTCCACTTTCAAAATTTTTATCACTTTACATGATTGTGAAAATTTGTGACCCTTGCTTCGCCCCCTTTTTTTTCTAGAAACACCACTGTTACTAATTGATGTATCCTTACTTTGTTTTTACTGCAAAGTCTTGAAAATAGTGAGTTTAACCACTAAACTAGAAGATAAATTTTAATTGAAAAATATATAGGTTTTGTTTATTAAGTTTTCCAAAATAATCCATTGTATTTCTATAATGTACTTCTCATTTCTTAAAAGGATGGTTCGCCATTCTAAGGAGCTGATTTGAGTCTTGAATATTATGTAAATAGTATTCAGATGTTTCATCCTCTGAAATATACCTCAAATTTCACTTTCTTTTTCAATGTTTCTTTTCTCTATATATTGCGAAGTCACGTCATCTTTTTCATATTAAAACGCGTATAATTCTGGACACACATGAATTTGAAGGCTCAAATTTCGACGGTGAGCTGTGAACACTATAACTGGCTTAATACAATTCAAAATAAAACATTATAGGCCAAACTCCGATATGCATCCCTTATAGTATGCATGCAACCATCAGATCCACTATTGCTTGTAAAAATCATGTCACCAAATGTTGTGTGTGGGAAAGTGACATCAAAACCATCTCTCTATGTGGACGTATATTGTCGGCACCCCTGTCCGCCCGTCGGTCTGTCAACCGATTTTGATGCAACTTAAAATGGATGTTATTGGACCTAAATCGAAAGGTTTGAGAAAGTTTAGTTTACTTCTGATTAAATTTAAGGCTTTTTCAAGATTTAGGCCTCTTACGTCAGTTTTGAGGAGTTGTCGCCCTATACAGTAAGTGCTTCTATCAACATCAATTGCTCGTAAACACTCTAAAAACTAGATTTTTTGATGGAATCAAATGAAATTCGGTATGTGTAGACATATTCATAAAAAAAGATCAAGTTCGAATTTGAGCTATTTTCGACCGTAAGAAGCAGAGTTATTGCCTTTGCCCCAAAATCTTTAATATATACCATCTGCATGCCGCTTTGGGCGTATATGGCTGTGGTCCACTATCTTTGAATCATTGTACCTATAGTTTTCGATTTTGCCATGCTAATTTGGGAACGTGAACTTTTTTCTAATGGCGTTTATACAATGCGTGTCGATCACAATGAAATTAATGGCATATTCTACTCGTGTTAAAATATTGAAGAACTGTACCAAAACCTTGTTATTTGAATAAACTTTCCTTTAACAATAATCAATAATTAGTTCAATAATATTGACTAGGAATTTAATCACCTATAAAAACCGCCAGAATTTACAGATTGGATCAGATCGACCTTGCTGTCACGAGTCAAGTGTAGCAAGTATCTGTACTGTCCAAAAATCTGTATGAATATGGATTCCTATCGAAAATGTTTGTTTCTGGGTATGGTGCTTTTCTTGATGATATCTATCAACTACCACGTGCAATTAAGGTATCTTCCTCGGCAAACTGATAATGGAAATCTCGGGAAGCAAGAAAGTGGCAGAAAGATTCAACCAAAAAAGGAGATAGAAAAGGGGTGGAAATTTTTCGAGAGGAAGGAGAAGAATCAAAGAATTCACCAGACGAAAAAGTTTATGAATGATGGAGAAAGAACCGAAACAATGGATAGTGTGGTACCTTTGAGAATAAAGCGAAATGCTTTGACAAACAATTCTAAACTGTTAAATGTCAGCAACGCCGAGAATGGTACAATGAACGATATTGACATTGTCACTACTTCAGGTGTAATCGGATCGAACAGGTCACAAGACGAAAGAAGAGAGAATGATGTATCATCTATTATTAATGAAGGATTTGTGTCGAAGGAAACCTATGATGAAATTGAGAAAGTGACAAGATATCTGACATTTGTAACCCAGGTTCTCGTTGTTCTTGTATGTACAATAAATATCATTGTATTTTCCAGAAGGCCCATGAGAAGTCCTACAAGTGCGTATCTCATAGCACTCAACTCCACTGAACTGTTGTCTGTCACATCCGGAGTCATGACATCTGTAGTAGGTTTCATTTTTGGTGACAAAGCCTTTGTAAGCTATGGTTATTTATTCATGGGTCTTTATATGTCTAATTATTTTACTGTGGCAACTCGAAGATGTACATTTGTTTTCACATGCTTAGTAGCGGCTGAAAGATTTCTAGCAGTCGCTTTTCCACTGAAATCTAAACACATGAAGTTGGTAAGAAAACCTATCATCTTTATTTTAGCTACTGTGACCCTTTCTTTTGTGTTTCATTTATTTAGCGTTTTGAAATACAACCTTGTTCCATACCTCTCTCCAAACAGTAATGAAACATTTTGGAAATTTCAGTTTACGAAAATATTTCTAGAAAATAAAGCAAACATGGAATCATGGAGTATTGCCAGTAAAATAATTTTTGTTTATATTCAATTAATTGGATGTTTAATTTTAAATATTGGAATTGTTATTGCTCTTAAACGTCATAGAATGAATAGACTTAGATTGAATTCATCAGAGGATGTTTCTAAAGTAGCTCAAGAAAAACAAACAACCGTCACAATACTGGTATCAACTTTTGTTTTTGTTTTGTTGGCTTTACCAGTGAATACAAGTTCTGTCGTAGCCAATCTAGATAGCACTAATTATGGTCTGAACACCAAAAATCATTATCTGTTTTATGCTATTCTCCATTTAGGAGGTTGGTTTGAATTGCTCAGTGACTGTACAAATTTCATTTCCTATATTGTTTTAAGCACACAGTTTCGACTCACGTTTATAGATGTGTTTGGAAACTGTAGTTTTCTGGGATCATGGTTTAGCGAAGAAAGATACATTGCAACTACTAAGATCAGTACAATATCTAGTTCGAGGTAGAGCCGATTAAATAACTTAAACGAAATAATCATACGAAACACATTTCTTCTTCTCTAGATCATCCATTTTGCTGGCAATCCTTTTCCCCCATTACTCCAACAAATTTTCAATATGTTGCTCAAGCGAAGGCGGATTAAGTTGATAGTGTCAACGCACGTTAAAGCTTCCTGTTGTGTGAGTGCATTATTTAGTAAAGTACACAGTTGCTAATATTTAATAAGATAAATTTGAGAGCTATTTAACTTAAAAAGTTTGAATGTTCAGTACACATTGGGAATTGCGCGCAACCAGTGGATAAGTCCTGATATCCCATAGGAGAGATGTTAGTCACATTAAGAACTACAATTCAAATCAGAACAAGGTCATGTTAATTCCATTTCTTGAATTTAGTACGCTTGTTTGGAGTTTATCTTTTGTATTTTTGTTAAATTAGTGTCTATTTTGATGTAATAAACCTTCAAATGTATCTGACTTTTGTTAATATACCGTCACTCCTTGCAATGTTGGAACGAAACAAGAGACTATTTGAATGTAAACAACATTTGAAATTTTGAAACTAGAAGCTGAAACTTTTTTTCGTGTTCTACAATTGAACAGATGCATTGAGCACTATATTCTAACAGTGAAAATTTTTGTTATTGTGAAAACAAATTCATGTCCAAATGCAATATGGAATATGATATTTCAAAATGTTTACGTGATCGTCTAAATATAAATCTTTATGTCGATATAATATAGACTATGTCATATGTATTTTAATATCAGTATTTATAACTATCAAATGGTTTTGCTGTTGAATGAACATTGTCAGATTTTGCCAATGATTTGGAACGGATCAAACCCATGGCATGACTTGGTCAGAACAAAATCCATAACCATGTTTTTCTGTTGGTTGGCTTGTAGATGAATAGTTTTCAGCTAAACGATATCGCAGACTGGGTATTTGACGGTATTCGTGGTAGTTGGTTGTATGATCTGGATCTATTGGATGGTTTGGTACTGTTGGGTGTGGTTTTTGAGAAATCTTCATTACTGGTCAGCTCGGATGACATTGTGGCAACCTATGACATTGACCTATATAGTAGGTGTAGCAGACCATGGTAGTACTTCTCGCAAGGCGGCTTCACACTGTCCCGAAATGGTTCCGAGATGTTCAAATTCGATCCATATGGCCGCCGGTTTAGGTTTTCAGGCTCCGGCAGCTAATTCGTGACTAATGGAAAAATCTTTCATCCGAATTTAAATGAATAGTTTCCTGCTAACTGATATTGCAGACTGGTTAGTTGTTTAATTTGTGACTGATGGCAAAATGTTTGGCATGCCAAAAAATTTCCGTAGAACGTTGCGCATTTCATTTTCGGGTTGAATTCGTATGGCCAACGTGAGGGCATCTTGTCGTGTCATTGTCAGCTTTACTCACGAAGAAAACTAGAAGCTGTCCGATTGTCTTAGGAAGACCACACAACTACACGAAAGCGTCGCAATTCCGTCATGGATCCTCCGAGGATCCATCGTATTACAGTGCGATGTCATCACGATGGGATCACGGTGTCGATCAAGACTTTGAATTTGAAATGTACCCTCCCGGCGATCTCAGATAAGCAATGGATTTTCCGGAGCTCGTTGATTGCTAGTGGAAATTTCACTGTCTGCTCCCAGAGTTGACAAAACGTTTTATACTATCGGGAGTTCACGCAAAGCCTTCGTGACCAAGTTCGAACGCATGGTACTCCCATTATGACATGCCTTCTTCATGAGCCCAATCAGAAAAGTAGGATGTATAACTCCAAAATTCAATTTTTATATTTTTTTCGACATAATTAGTTCGACACTCGTACTGTGAACAACTAATTAGCTCTCTCTCTAGTCTGGATTGGTGAAATTGGATTAGCGGATTACTGTCAAGTATCAATTAAGTATAACTCAATTAACTTTTGACACCTGCCACTAATTTGTGAGTTCGTTCCTTTTTATTCTTTGCTTTTATCTTTTCTTTGGGCGGCCGACAATTTCTTTGGCGGAAGAAATTCAAGCTGTCCTACAAAGCTTTCACTAGGTTTCGTTTTGTTTCGTTGTTCTCTTTTCATTTTCATACTATCAATTTTTGCACAGTCTGCAAGGCATTCTTGATAGCTATCTCCAATCTGTCTTATTGTATTGTATCTTATATTTTGTATTTGTACTAATCAAACCTTCAATTTCAGTTAAAATGGCCTCCCAACAATCCACCAAGGTTAGCTATGCCGATATTGCGAGTCGGCCAGCTGCTACCATGCAACCCAGGGTAGCAAGGCCGGAGTTCTCCAACATCGTAATAGTGAAGCCAAGCGGGGGCAAAACTTTCGGCAGCACGAAGTCGAAGGTCATCGGCGACTTCATCCGGAAAGAGTGGAAGTATAGCTCTCTTCCGGAGGTCAAACATCTGGCCAACGGCAACGTGCGGCTGAACTTTGAGTTCCTGGCAATTGCGGTTTATGCTGCCAACCAAACCGCACTGTGTGGGATGAAGGTGGACTCGGCCATGTAGAGGGTTTATACCTCTACAAACCTCGGGAGGGCAAGTCCGTTAGGACTGTCCAATTAACATTTGCAAGCGGGAAAGTACCTAATGGTCCTCTTCCCCTTCTTTATTCCAGGTACCAGCTCCACCCTTACATCCCCAAGGTACGAAGATGCCAGAAGTGCCAGAAGTTGGGTCACCTAGAGAAGTTCTGCCACAACAAAGTTTGCTGCGAAAAGTGTGGAGAGGGGCACAGCACCAAGCTGTGTAAATCCAAGAAGGTACTGTGTGTGAATTGTCGGAGTGATAACCACTCCAGCAACTCCGCACAGTGCCCTTCGTTCCTGTCGAGAAGAGCGGAAATAAGGATACAACACGCCTACAAGGTATCCTCCCAAGAAGCTCGCCATCACGTCTCGGCCAACACGGTGCCCGCTGCCCCCAAGCCCGTGGTCGAATGCCCCAAACCTGCCCCGGCTCAAACTCCGAAAGGATTCACACCGGAGTTCAAGGACGAGTCTAAATTTTTTGATTTCTGTTGTAGGTTGGTTGCAGTAGCAATTAGTTCCAGATCCAAGGCTGGTGAAATCAATCCAAAGGACGTCATGGACGCAGTATCAAAAGTATGTGCCGACAATGTCACGAATCTACAACCACCAAATAAGGATACCAAACCAAAGAGGAAGAGATCCAGCACGGATGTTCCGAAGACTGACGTAGTGGGTCAATCAGTGGAAACGCCAAGAAAAGTAAAGGCGGTATCCACGAGTGGCCAACCTCGTCAGTCAAGGAGCATCTGCAGAAGTACAGGCTCCAGACCCGTGACTGAGCGCTCTAGAAGCACTTCGCTAGCTAGACCACTGCCCACTGGCTCAGTAACGGAAATGGACGTAGAGGTTTTTACGGCATCCCAAACCCCATGCTAAAACCATACTGATCCATAAAGTCATTAATTATTTTACATTCAATTTCAGGTTCATACAGCTGAACATCAATGGTTTGAACGTACCTGAACGGAAGACCCAACTGGTACAGCTACTACAAAGGAAGCAGTATGATGCCGTTTTTCTCCAAGAGTCCAAGCTCGGTTCAAGGAATAAAGACCCTATCATCAATGGTTATACTTTGATCAGATTAAACAGACCTAATGCTCTCAACCATCGAAGTGGTGGGGGTCTGGCCATCTACATCAAAAATGGTATATCCCATAGTGAGGCTCCTCTGGAGGCACAGGCGGTATCCTTTACCGACAAGTCAAAGGTTTTTTCTATCGTTAATATTTATCGACCCGAAGTCAAAGGCAAACCTCAACGATTCAGTGAATATCAGTATGTTTACGATCAGTTGCCCGGGACCGACAATATTGTGCTTGGTGATTTTAACGCCAAACACGTATTGTGGGGCTCGCCAACAACTGACACTAATGGTAGACATGTTGCTGAGTTCATTGAGGCCAATGACCTGGTTAGCATAAATGATGGTAGCATTACTTATGTTGGTGCAATTGCTCCTCTTGGTTCGCATCTCGATCTCACATTAGTAAGCAGTCGGTTAGCTAAAGACTGTACGTGGGAAGCAACCTGTGAGACCCTTGGAAGTGACCATGTTGTCATTGAAATCACGCTGTCACGCAATGTTGTGAAGGAGGAAGTCATGG